CCTTTTGTATTCATATTTCTTCACGGACTCAAACAGTCTGGAACAGAATAGCAGTTAGGTACCAAAGTCCACTTATACAACTATAAGGTGGAATAGAATCTGGCCCTTGTAGAATATAAATAAGTTTCTACAGCTATTTCTTATGAACAATCCTTGTTGATTAAGTTCACTGGAGATGAAATTGCAAGATTTGGGAGGCAGAAGGAAGAGGGGAGAGGAAACGCTATTCCAAGAATTGCCAGTTCATCGAGTTTCCAAAGCTTGCTCTTCTTGATGTCCTCGTGGGAGGAATGGAAATGAGGTGCTCTTCTGGAGCAAGACCAAGAGAGAATAGGGCCTCGCATCAATCATCATACTCAGAGAGAAGCAGGTGCAGGTCTAGAACAATTTAAATCCAGTGTTACCAACTTTACAGCTGAGAAACTAATAATTTATTTAGGAAACAACTTGGAATAATCAGGGTTGTTAGCCCTGCCTACTGTTTTTGGTGTTTATATTCTTGTACCTGTATGAAGCTACACAGGGCAGAGACCTCTTCATCTTTACTTGTTTATGAAGTGCTGGGCATATAGTAGTGTGATAGCAAATATATTATCTGCCCAGAGCCTAATGTACTGGGGTTTTCAGGGCCATGAAGAGGTTGTAAGACTGGTCATTTTGTTGGTTTTATGGTACAGAGGATCTTTTCTCCTCTCTGTACTCAAGGTTCTCAGCTTTTAATAGGGGCAAATGCTGGCTTCAAATGATAAATCGGCTTGTTAAACTACACCTCATCTCTCAGTGCATGCCCCTTTTTGCAGGAAAATCAAAGCAGCATGGACAGTAACGCATGCCAAGCTAAATCTGGCCCAGGATGCCATTGTTCATTTAATCACTGCTGTGTTGGCCCAGCACCAGTGTCTGTGATGCATGCTCATATTGAGTACACTAGCAACAGACATAGGAACTTTGACCCACAATAGTGGGCAAATTCAAGAGAGCTAGGGTGTTGCTAGGACTTGCTAACAGCTTTGGTGCTGGGGAAAAACACATGTAGTCATTAGCATTCTTTTCTGTCTGATATAAACACATTGCTTTAAGGAAGAGATGTGTGAAAAAGGCTACTGACTAGCAGCCAAATTTGTTACTGACCATGTGTAGAGGACTTTGCTTTATTGACTGAAGCAACTATGATTCACACAGCTGAGGCCCTGTCCCATTCCTTTTGCTGAGTGAGTTCCCTGGAATACCAATGAACACCTGTATGAGAGATGTCGCTGTAGGTTTCAGTTCAGTCCTTTTGTGTTTGCTCTGACTGCAGAGTTGGCAGCCCTAACCCCAGAGGATGTCCCAAAGCGGGGGTGGGAGGTCCTCAATGTGGTATATAGCTCTATATATGCCTCTATATACCTTCATATTACCCCCCTCCCACTATGGCATGTATCAAGGGCATTTCCCTGGAAAAGGGCATGGCCGAAGGAGCTCCTTTAGGCCCTAACCAGATGGATAGTTTGGGACAGATTGGAGGCAGCTCTCACTTATGGTGGGCTAGACTGCTCTAGAATATGGTAGGGGAAAAAGCAACACAAAGCCACCTTTGCCTCCTTTCCCTACCCAGGCATTTTGTGTTCAGCTTGGGTAGAGCTGCGAATCTGGATGTTTCTGCCAGTCTTTTCTGAAAACTCTTGACAATTTTAATTATTCCAACCAGAAGAAAGTGTCTCAAGATTCAGGCTAAATCAGCTGCTTTGGAAGATTTTAGTTCATTTGCTGAGATAAGCCTAAGTAAGTGCTCTGTGCTGTGCTTGTAGAGACTAACATTGGCACTGTGGGTGCATCTTCCCAGAGATATAGGGAAGGAGTGTGGGCTTTCCAAGGCAACCAGCAGACTTTATGCAAAATATTAAGCGATTATGCTTAGCAGTATGGGACACTTACACAAGGGCAATGGAATACATATCTGGAAGTATTTCTGCAAATCTGAAAGGCCTTTTTTGTTTTATTTTGTCTTTAATTTGGGCTAATTATAGTGATAGCTAAAGTGTGAGGTCTAATACTGATATTCCTTGTTCTGAAATGAATGATTAGAGGTTCTAAAGATGTCCAGACATAGAGTAGGTAGGGGAAGTAATAATATTCAACCCTTGCAGGCAGCTCCTGAATCCATAAATCTTCCATTTTACTGAGAGTCAGCTTCATAGTTGATGCTGCAGTGGCAGTAGTAGTGGCACCCATGCAGCTGCATACTTTGATGCCTCTCACCTGCAGAGAGCTGGCCAAATCTGAGTTCCTGTAAGTGGATCAGTAGAAAGGCACCCATTTACAGAAGGTCTACATTTGGCTTAGCCTGTTAGCACAGACTGACATTTTACATCAGGCAGGTTCAAACTGTAACATCTTGTACAGTGTTACTGTTAGGCTAATTATCCCTATCATGGTGTTCTGGTAACCATTAAGCCATGTTAGGACTGCCTTTAAGCTAGCTGTCAGTCAAGATTATGACTTCTTTTCATTAGGAGGTTCTGAAGAGCTTTTCTCACTGCTGCCCAGTTCAGATCTATGTACTTTAATGTGTTGTGTAGTTTCTACAGGTTTTCAGGCTGCGCTAAGGCACAGTGTTACAGGGTCAGTGCAAGAAGGCAGGTTTTCCTTGTATTAAATGGCTTCTACAGTCTCCTATTTCTATTATTTCTGCAAATTAACTTTTAAAGATGCAGTGAATCTTTAAAGGGCAATGACACCACTCTATTTTACATATTTTTTCAGACAACTGGTATCCCCAAGAATTTATAGTTAAATAGCACAACTGCAAAGCTAAATACAAGCAAAAATAGCATAGGAAGTGTGAAGATAAGAGATACAGAAGGCATTATAAAATGAGAGTCAAAGAGAAGGTGCAACTCATGGGGACTGTTCCAAGCTGCAGGGCCTGTGTAGAATAGGGTTCTTACAGTAAGAGCAGAGATGATGGTTGCAGGGGTTGAGATAACCAGTGTTGGATGGCTGAAGTGAACAGACAGGAAAACAAGAGAGGAGCACATGTGAATTGAGCAGGGCAATGCAGGTTTCCTTTAAAAATGATAGCAATTTTTAACAGGATCTTGAAATAAGCAAGGAACCAGCAGATGAAGCTATATCTTGCTGCACTAAACCTTGCAACACCAGAAGAAGGTCTGCAGTATTGTTTGGGAGTATCTGAAGAATGCTCTAGGGTGGTAATAGTCAAGGCTAGAGAAGATGAGGCTTGCAGTGAGGTGGAGTTGAAGCTGTGTTATATACAATATGTATTGCTGAAGCAGCAGTGATGGGCAGATTTGTGTGCAAGGAAGATGTGTGAAGGCTGGGATAGTTTTGGAGTCAAGGCTAAGGGCAGGCTTTTGAAGACTGGGAAAAATGAGAGATCTGAGTCAAGCAGGGAAATAGGAGACTTGGGACTCTGTCTGACCTTGCTCCCCTAGCTGAAAAGTCTTGAGTTCAGAGAATGTTGCACGGCCAATCCTCTGCCACAGTAGCGTGCTCACATTGGCAGCACTTACAACCTTGGCAAAGACTATTTGGCGTGCCCCCTTGCAAGCATTCCCTGTGGACGACCCATCAAAACGATAGGTGATACTGGTGCCTTTCATCGATTGTATCTGAAGCCTATTCTTCAAGAGGGGCTTGTTTTTAATTGTGGGAACCTGCTGTTAGTAGATTAGTAGTATAATTCTCATTCCTGTTCATTTAACCAGCCACAGTGCTTCAGAGCCACAAACATAAGCACACACTGATATTTATGCCAAACTGCAAACAAAGCTACAAAACATGATTGAAACATTCTGATGCCTCCTGGAAAAAGTTTAAGAATGTCATATATGGGCACAATCATATTCACTTAAGAGATTTCCTGTATTTCTCTCTTCCTTTGAAAATACTTGTAACAGCTATATGTGGTGAATGACATAGGACCCAATTCATCGCTGTGTTATTCCAGTTTGCAGAGCAGTGACACTACCTGCAGTAATGCAGTGGAAACAGCCTTACATTTTTAAAGTTTATCTGCTCCTTCTGCTTATTCTTCACTTGAAGTCATAATCTTCTGATTGGTACAGACATGATTATGATCTTACAAAAAGGGGATTATAACTTTGACTGAAGATAGCAGTAGGAGAAGATGAACTCTAAAGAACAAAGTTTATAGTTTTGTGTAAATGGCTCTGATAATAGAAAGTGCGGGAGGAGGAAAATATAGATAACCTTTCTGACACAAAATGGAGTTCTTTCCAAATGCAGGGTTGGAGCCTCAGTTGGTGTAAATCATCATACTTTTATTGACCTTGAAGAAAATTTTAATCAGTTTAACTTTAGTTAGAGACTTGTTGATTTACACAAGTCATGGACAATGGTATTCCACAATCTTCCCTGAGATACCAGTGGATCTCTAATATACCCAGGTGATGTTCCATCTTTGTTTACTTTGAAATAACTTTGGGACTGGAAATGGTTTGAGAGAAGTGTTGGATGCTGACTCCATTCCTTGCACTGTGACCTGCAAGAAACTGTTGTGTTCACTAATGGTTACTTGGTGACATTTTGATCTTTATCTCTTCTTCAGGTGTGTTTCTCATGAAAGATGATAAGGTTGTAATGATGTTTTGATTTTATTACCATGAGCTATTACCAGGTGAATTGCCTATTTTCAACAGCTATAGTCATCCAACTTGCTCTATAGTGGGCTACTGTATAGAAAGATTTGTTGCTTAAACATAACAATCTGGCATCTTTTCAGTCAAGAAACCAATTTTTTGTGTTTACCCAGGCACTAGTGGCAAAGATTAATCATATTTAATTTGTGGTCTCAATGACATATTTAGCAATACAGTTTAAATGTGCTGAGTTTTTAATGAGGTTAATTTGACAATACAAAAGGCTAAGGGCTTAATTTTGCCCTGCAGATTATTTCATTTTACTACATGTATCGAGTAAAGTCTGTTGACTATCCAATGGTTGTTGCTGAGGTGTCTCTTTTTTTTCTTTTCTAGACAACAGAATACTCAGCCATGGCATCGTTAGCTGGTGGGTTAGATGATATGAAAGCCAATATAACAAGCCCAACTTCAGCAGATTTAGGGGCCAGTGTTCCAGGACCACAATCATATCCTATTGTGACAGGTAAGAAATATGAAGAGACTGATGGATCCTGCAAAACAGTGTGTATGATGGCATATTGGGGGAAATAGTGGAATGACTTGTTGATGCACAGTTTTGGAGTTGGTGTTTGTACATAGCAGGTCCAGGCTAGATGCTCATATAATGTAAAACTCCCTCAGGTCAACAGAGCGGCGTACCATTTTACATCTCCATTTCTTAATGCTGCATACCAGCATGCCAAAAAAAATCAGGACTTTGTCTCTGCAGTGGGGTTTGTCATTTTTGACTATGTATCCAGACTGAACACTGCTGATATTTCAAATGGGATTGAATTATGGGTGAATTTGGTTCTTCCAGCTACAGTTGCTTTGGGTCATTTTTGGAATCCTAGGCTTTTCCTAGGGATCACCATTTAAATGACACCATAATTATAGCAGTGAAAATTTTACTGTATTTCTGTAACAATCAGAGCCATGTATAAGGGTCAAGGACAGTTGGCCATGGCTAGATTTTGATAATGTTCAAAATAGTCTGATTGTCTGATTTAGGTAGCAGCTCTTGGAATTAGGCTGAAGATAGCACCACAGAATCACAAAACAGAGTCCCTGAAGACTTGGGTAATATTAAGGACAAGGACTCTTTGAACTTGAGTATGGCTTTTTACCTACCCTTGCATATTTTGTTTAACATCAGCCTAGTGATGGCTCAGATTTCAGCCCTAGTTTTTCCTCCTTTTCACCCAGTATAGGTTTCAGAATTTGATTTAGTGGCTAAAGGAAATTTTTTGATATTTTTAGAGTGCTGCCATCTTGTATTGAGAGCAGGGTGGTTGTACATCATAAGCGAACCATTTTGAAAGCCTAGTTCATTATTGTTGCATGAAGTATAAGCAACCTCTGGAATGCTTGCCAAGATTTTGGAAGATTCAAATATATTTATATTATTTTATGGATTATATGGATAATATTATCCAGATTATATGGATAATAATGAAAATCACATTTATATTTCATAGTATGTGGATATTTATCTGGAGGGAGAGAGATAAATCTACATTAAGAGGATAAATACGTAGAAGGAACGTGAACTGGGGTATATTTCCCAGCTTTAGGGTGGAAGAAAAAACATAGCTGACCTGAGTTAAGGAGAAATGTTCCCTTCAAACAGGTTATGACTGAGTTGTTCACCATTGCACTTCATGCATATTCCTCTGAGGCATGTGGTTGCTGAGGCAGGAATCACCCCGGCATATCAGACAAGACTAATTGCCATTGAAGTCAATGGGAGTTGTCCCATTGACTTTAGTAAGTACTTAGATCAGGTGCAGTTGTGGGCTCACCTAACTTTTAAATCTATCTCACCAAAACCAGTGCCGTGTAAGGAGGGGAAATGGGGACACATAAAGGTAACAGAGAACCATCTAATGTAAGTTATCTGGACTTTCAAAATATTTGAAATTGTCCTTAACAAGAGGTTAGCAAGGTCATTAAGTTGCTGCAGAATTTAAAATAAATTATATTTTGAATTAGAAAGTAGCTTAGAGAGAAAAGAAAGAGTAGATATAAATGGTCAATTTTCTTCTTGGCAGAAGGCTACAGAAGGTGGCTGAAAAGTTCTGTGCTGGTTTCAGTGTTATTTCCCATATTTATTAATAACCTGGAGAAGAGTGTAAACTCTGGTGTGGCAGAACTTATAGATGAGACAAAGTGATGTAGGTTAGTCAAGAATAGGGAAGATTGTATGGAATTCTGGAGGGAGATAATTAAATGGTTGGACAAGCATGTATGATGAAATTCAGTGATAACAAATGCTTATTGAGAGAGTGAACTGATCTACTTAGACATATTGCTGAGCTTTAAATTAAACTCATGGAAAATGTCTTGAACATCACTGTGGACAGCTGTGAGAAAACCTCTTTTCAATGGGCAATGGTGGACAGACAAGAAAACGAGCTATTAACATGCATGTGGAATGAGAATGAGGACACTATAATCTCATTATAGAAATCAGTGGGATCTCTTTTGCCTGGAATATCATGTTCAGTTCTTGTCACCTAATTTCATCTAAAGTCATCTAGTAAGAACAGCAGTCTAGAGATGAGCAACTAAAATAATTAGACTGTGAGGAGAGACTGTAAACTTAAGATACAGCTCACTAAATTTATGAATCAGATTATATTTTCCCAGATAATGTTCTCAAGATATGCTAGTAAGAGTTTTGTCAATAGGCTGCTTATGAGGGAAGGACCCAGGAAAAACTGCTATTTACTTCAATGAAAGTTTTATCTGAAAAAACAAATGCATGTTTAGGCCTGCAAAGCATAGGAGCCGCCATTCCTTCAAATGAAACTAATAAGAAATTGATCATGCTTTTTTATTTACCATTCTAATTTTTGATGCACTATGCTAAATTATATTTGACCACAAGGAAAAAAGAAAGTATGCTTTGCTTGTTTTGTTTTCAGTTAGGACTAAGTGTGATTTGTTTAGAAATGAAGTTATATGTAATCTTAATGTCTGTGATGAATTGATCTAATGGTTAGAACACAGGGTTCAAATGATCTAATATCACTGAATAACAAAGTTGAAAGAAATCCTGTAGTGGTTCTATAGTACTGTTGTAGCTCTGATGCTCTAAGTGAGAAGCATGATTTGTTTGGTATTATCTTCTATGGACAAACTATAGACTTGGTAGAGGTGGTAGGAGGAGAAAGGGCATTTTGTGCTCTCCCAACTCTGCAGATGGTCTCATATTACTGAACTGGTTCTACGCAAATTCTTTCATTAATCTGAGATGCAAAGAGATGGGGAAAGGAAAGTGTGAGAGGGAGAGAGTGAATCAGAACAACATAGGGTTTTTAGGCATATAATTATTTAACAGGAGTTTAGTGTCTGACCTGTCCTGCTATCCATAGCACAGATTTACACTAATAGAACCAATTTCTTTTTTAATGTTCTTGAAATCAGCATCGGCCAAGCCTGTCTTCACTGGCATTTGAATGAGTACAGTTCAGGGGATACAGGATTGCCACCATAAACCATACACCTTGTCTTGTGTTATTTCCAACCTAACTATAATCAAAGACCTGCTGCAAGTGAAATATTGTAAGAGGGCTTGTTCTTGTACTTCCAGCTCAGTTTTGCAGGCCCAAGAGTTTGGGATAGCTTGGATGAATTTCAGCAAAGTGTTCAAAACCTTTGGTGCTCAGCTGGAGTGAACCTATGAACTTTTGAAGATAGCTGTCACTCTTCACTTGGTGTTCCAACATAAGTCACTAAATGATACACATGCTTGTTATAACATCTTCGCTGCTGAGAGATCCAGGAACTGTTTTATGTTTACAAAAATTGACAAGTGAACTGTAAACCCCAGAAGAAGTCTTTGGTTGAAATAATTTATACAGGGAATCTTTCATGTAAAGCAAAGCAGTGAATACTTCAGTGCTTCATGTTTCAGCCTACAGTAGGCTGTTAATGTGCAGAGGGCTTAAAAGCCTCATATTCCAGGATGAAGATCTTGAAATATATAGTCACAAGACTTTGAGAAATGGGTTTTATTGTGGCCAAGAAAACTAATCTGGTTCTTTTGATAGGCTAAAATCTGCAGTTCAAGCTTCAGCAGTTTTTATGAGAAAGTCTGGAGACAGTGCTGGCCTTCCATTTGCAAACTGACCTAAGTCTAGTTCATATGGTGAGTTTTGAGTCTTTAAGCCATCTCATAAAACAGTTTAATGCAAAACAGGCTGAGAAGTGAGAGGATAAGTGAATTATGATCACATTTTTTCATTGTTTTTATTTCAAGGCCATGTTTTGGACAACGCTGAGAAATGAGATCCTCAGGGTAATTGTGGATGTGAAATGTACAGTACACATTTCCTAGCAGACGGGTAGATTAAATCAGTCATGATGTCATTTGAACAAAAAGAACTGCTTCAACATGGGCACTTACACTAGCACACGCCTTTGAAAATAGGTCTTCGTTATGGCAAAGGGAAATTCTGATGACAGTTCCCAGTTCCACTTCATCCACCAGCCCCCTTGTGTTATGGACTGCCAGCTAAACATCTGATTAGAGAACCACTTGATTTCTCTCCATCGTTTTTATGCCACATTAAATATTAAGTTAAAAAAAAATCCCTTCTCTTACTGCTCGCTGCCACGGTTCATAAGCGCGTTCTCCATTTGCAAGCCAATGACATGTGCCCAGCTCATTACTGCTGTAGTCAGCAGTTTCCGAGCAGACCCTGATTGTTACTAATTACCTGCAGATGTATTTTCTCTGCTCCGGCTTGCTGACTTCAGCTTGGTCGCTATCACTTTGAGAGGACAAAGTGGCGCTGAAATTGACACCTCCGTTTGGCTCTCCACTCCAGTACCGGGGGCAGATTGACAAATCCACAGGCAGTCCCTGACTGCAGCTGCTTGGAGAGTCAGTTTGCATTAGCAGTGCCTCGAAGTGACTGGATGAGACCATTGACTGGCTTAGCAAAGAAGCCAAATAAGAACATTTCATTTAAGTGGGATCTGACACAAACCCTATCCTGCTCTGTTAGCAATAGGAAACATGAAACAAAGCATCAAAAGCAGATTTTGTTTTGTTCTCACTAGGGATGTTTAAGCATAGGAGCCTAGTCATTTACCTTGCCAGGAGTGCTCAAGACTATCTTTCCATTACATCCCCTCTCTAGGTTGCTGCAGAGGCAGTGCTACAAGGACTGGACTTTGATTTTGTCCATAATAGTGGTACTAATAAACTGGATACTATAGACTTTCAACTCATTTAATCCCTTACACCCATGCAGAGGAAGAGAAAAGCTTTGCCAGGAGAAGAGGTGCCGTTTATATATGTTTTGCTCTGACTCACTGCAAGCATCTACTGCTGCACAGTGGACCAGGCAGGAGAGAGTCATCCTGGTCACCTATGATGATCTTAGAAACAACCCCATGAAGCCAGATATGGGAGCCTGTCTGTACTTTAGACTGAGGGAGAAGAACAAATCTCAGAGCAGAGTCCCCTTGAAA